CCTCATACCGCGGTGGCTGGGTTCCAAGAGGAAGTGTCCCAAGAGACAAGAAATGGAGGCTACCATTTTCTTAAGACTTGAGCCCAAAAGTTAACATAGCATCATTGCCCCCATATTCTGTTGATCAAGTAGTCAGAGAACCCAGATTCAAGAGAAGGAGAAAAGACCCCACCTCTCAATGGGAGGAGGGTGAAAGAATCATGGACGATATTTTAAAACCACCTCAGTCCACTCTCTGGACATAAATTATTTACATTTTTCCCACTTGGAAAATTCATTCTTCTCCTTGCAAGATTCTCCATTAAAAGTCTCATCCCTTTATAATATCAGGCTCCAGATCTAGGATTCCATCATCTAAATCAGATCCAGATGCAAATGAGACATCACAGGTGCAGTGTGTCACGTGCAGCTCCTTGAGTGTAGTTCTTCTCAATCTGAAGACCTGTGAACAAAAGAAACGTGTTGTCTGTTCCCCACATACCCAACATATGATGGTGGGACAGGCATAGGATAACTTATAGATACACCCAGTCAAATGGGGAGAAAAACTGGAAGCACATAGCAGTCACTGGTCTATAGAAATTCTGAAATCCAGCTGGGCACGTGTTGCCAGCTCCTTGATTAGAGTCAATACTACTTTCTGGGGATTGTTTACCATGGCTCTTGGTTTTGTCCTCTGAATCCTTCTTCCTTTTCCATAAGAAAACTGACATTGCCTTCTCAGTCTTTTTTCTACCTGTAAAAGGTTGGCGGTCTAAAGGATTTTTTTCATTTTGTACCATCTCTGTCCCTTTTAGTCCTAGCTGGCAATGCTTCCGCCAGAATGATTCTCTTAGAAACTTGAGGTGTTTTCTATGAATACCATTGGGATTTACTTCAGTAGACAAAAGCTATAACCACAAATCTCTTAAAGATAAGCCCTTCTCTGCTTGGACTCCCTGTACAGCTGCTGTGAGACAATGCCCTTAAGATTCTTAAAAATCCTGTTGTTTAAGGGAGAGAATCTGAGAGATTTGCCCTTAAGATTCTTAGAGGGCCTTTTGGTCTGAAAGAGTCTGTGAAGCATAGTCTTAAATCATTCTGACATCGTAACAAAAGATTGTATTTGTACCATTCTGGATTTGACCCTTTTTAAATTTAGAATTATTTGCCTTCTGGAGAGAATGGAAATGAGAAGCAATTTTATTTGTGAACTCTGTAAGTCCTGGGCTTTTTTATGTTTTATGGGTTTTTTTTTTTTTTAAGCTCATCTCTCTCATCTTGCATTTTTATCACAGGCAGTGTGAGAAGAAGCCAGGTGACGCTTTCATTGCTTTGTCTGGAAATCACCTTAGCTATTTCACTGAGTTCAACAGGTACCTTTCCTGTTTCCATGTTACTTCAAGTGACAGTGTTGTCAAACTTTCCATCACTACCTAGCAAATGTCCCCCGTCCTCCATCTTCCAATAAGATTTTCCTCACTTTCCTTTAAGCCTTCACTGACAGCCTCCTCAAAACCCTTTAGGCTTCCATTAAAACTCTACTTAAGGGGCCAGCCCAGTGGCATAGCAGTTAAGTTCGCGCCTTCTGCTTCAGCGGCCTGGGGTTCGCAGGTTTGGATCCCAGGCACGGACCTACGCACTGCTTATCAAGCCATGCTGTGGCAGGCGTCCCACATATAAAGTAGAGGAAGATGGGCACTGATGTTAGCCCACAGCCAATCTCCCTCAGCAAATAGAGGAGGATTGGCAACAGATGTTAGCTCAGGGCTAATCTTCCTCACAAAAAAATGAAACAGAAGAAAACAAAAAAACTCTACTTAAGGCCCTTTAAGCTTTCGCTCAACACTCTTTTTGTGGCCTTTTGTGCTTCTTTCTGCTGCCCAATCCCAAAGCCAATGCCATGTGTGTTAGGCTTTTGTTACTGCAGCACCTGGTTTCTGGTACCACAGTCTGTTCCAATAATCTTTTGCTATGTAACAAACCACCACAAAACTTGATGGCTTAAAACAACAGTGTAGATAGGGCTTCGTGGCAACAGCTTATGTCTGTTCCATGCAGTGGCAGCTGTGGTGGCTTGACTAGGAGTGGAGGATCTACTTTCACCACATGGCTGACAAGTTGGTTCTGGCTGTTGGTTTCTCTCCATATGCACCTCACCACAGGGTGGCTTTGCCGCCTCACACATGGTAGTTGGATTCCAAGAGTGAATGTCTCAAGAAACAGTAAGTGGAAACTGCCTGTTTCTTAAGCCCTGGGCTCAGAAACTGGCACAGTGTCATTTCCACCGTAGTCTATTGGTCAGGTATCACAGAGATCGATGGAAGGGATGTCACAGAATTTGGGGGCCATGTTTTAAAACTACCACATTTTTCTAAGGATTCTATAGTTTGCCTTTTATATTTCACCCTGTAATCCATGTAGAATTTCTTTTCTTAATCATCACTAGAGTGGTTATACTTTTTCCTTTTTGTGTGTTTTAATTAGGTAAAGTTTACGTACAGTGAAATGTGCAGATCTTAAGTATACAATTTGATGAACTTTATTCATTATAAGCACCCATGTAACTACCCCCAATTAAGATAAAAGTCATTTCTACCACCGCCAGAAGTTACCTCATACCTCCTTACTCTATTCTTCACTCTTGTCTTTATTCTGATTTCTATAACTGTAGATTAGATTTTCCTATTCTTGAACTTAATGTAAATGGAATCATACTATATGTACCCTTTTGTATCTGGTTTCTTTCTCTCAAAATGTTTGTGAGAAGCACCCTATCAGTAGTTCATTCTTTTTTACTGCCAGATGGTATTCCAATAAATGAATACACCACAATTTATATATCTGTCCTCTTGTTGACGGACATTTGGGTTGGTTCTAGTTTGGGGCTATTATGACTAAGCTGCTATGAACATTCTTGTAAGCATCTTTTCATAGACATATGTTTTCATTTATTTTCATTAGTCTTCTTATCTCTTTGAGGTCTTGCATTTTTTTGTGTGTGTGTGAGGAAGATCAGCCCTGAGCTAACATCCATGCCAATCCTCCTTTTTTTGCTGAGTAAGACTGGCTCTGAGCTAACATCTATTGCCAATCCTCCTCCTTTTTTTTCCCCAAAGCCCCAGTAGATAGTTGTATGTCATAGTTGCACATCCTTCTAGTTGCTGTATGTGGGACACGGCCTCAGCATGGCCGGAGAAGCGGTGCATCGGTGCGCGCCCAGGATCCGAACCCGGGCCGCCAGTAGCGGAGCACGCGCACTTAACCGCTAAGCCACAGTGTTGGCCCAAGTTCTTGCATTTTCATGTTTTGTTTTCAGCAAAAGAATCAGATTTTGACATCGAAATCCTAACTATTTCTTAAGAGACTTCAACCAATCCTTCTATTATTAGAACTACCTTCACACTGACCTCTAGAGGCACCTGCCCATTCTTGGGCCTTTTGTGAATTATAAGATGGAACAGCTTGGTTCTCATCATTCCCCATTCATGGTTAAAGATTCAGCTTTCTTGGGTTTGCTAAGTCATTTGCTGCTTTGCCAGTGTGTTTTCCAGCTTCCAAAATTTTATGTTGTCTCCTCTCATGTTATCTGGCTTATTTTAGTAGGTTTTAGGAGAGAACAGAGTTAAATATATATTTCAATTCATCTTGTTTACCTTTTTCTTTTTTTCCTTTCCTTCTTTTTCACGTCACACCTTTCACATCCTGCCTCCTCCCTTTCTGTTTCCCATTTTCTTCTCTCCACCTTGCTTCCCTTTAGAATTACAGTGATAAAGGTGGAAGAGTCCTCAGAGAGAATCTGGCTGAGCCCCCTCGTTTTACAGATGGTAAACCTGAGGCCCAAAAAGGACTGCAGTCCATCCACAGCCTACAAAGCTACTGCGCTTATCTTTTTTGCCTTTAATAGCAAAAGAGACTTTTTTCCCTCCTACCTCTTCAGTTAGTGAGCCGTGACGGTGTGAGAAAGAAGGGTACCCCCTTACTCAACTGGAAGCCAAGAAGGCAGATCAACAGAGAGAGTGTCATAGCTGACTAGGCTGTTGTGGGTCCTCTCCAGAGACCAAGGAAGCAGCTCTGTTTGGGACTTCCTCTTTCTCCTGTGCCCACCCTATCCCCTACCCTACCATAGTGCCAGATGGAGGGTTGCAATTAAGAGAGTGCACAGCTGGGGCCGGCCCCGTGGCTTGGCGGTTAAGTGCACACGCTCCGCTGCTGGCGGCCCGGGTTCGGATCCCAGGCGCGCACCGACGCACCGCTTCTCCGGCCACGCTGAGGCCGCGTCCCACATACAGCAACTAGAAGGATGTGCAACTATGACATACAACTGTCTACTGGGGCTCGGGGGGAAAAAATAAATAAATAAATAAATTTTAAAAATAAAAAAAAAAGAGTGCACAGCTGTCTTGACAGGAGAAACTACTAAAACAAACAAATATATAGATGAGACCACTCATGTTTTTCTTTATTCCATTTTTTTTCTATTTTTACTACTTTCTTTGGACCTGAGTGTTGATGTAGAAGATAACAAAGGGACTCCAAGGCCCAGAACAGAAAGCAAGCCAAGTGGCCAGTGGTGTGACCATTCTAAGTCCAAGGCCAACCACACACACACAAGCACACCCTTGCTAATTGCTATAGCCCCACAACTCCTTACACATATAAGGTAAGAGATACAAGATTATGTGAGGCAACCAAGTACTAAAAATGAAAGTATGTACGTCTGGGAAACTGTTTAGATTTTCTTTTCTGTGCACAGAAGACAGAGTGCAAGTTCTGTGCCTTGGCTTTTGGTCTGGGCTGTTCTCCCAGGAGGCTATGTTCCCAGAGCCTTTGGTCATGCAATTTGGGCTGGCAGCAGCTGGGTACAGCCACCGTCTACCCCCTCCCAGTGTTTCACCAGCTTAGCAGCTGGGAATCCTGCTAGGGACCAGAGGCCAGGGTATGAAAGACAGAAGAGAGCACTGTTCTTCCACTTCTCTACCCTGGATATCTTTAAGCTTCTTTGATTCTGTCTCATGCAGTTTGTATTTACTTGAACAAGAATGGCAACACAGGCCCCCACCTAGATAAGAAGAAGGTGCAGCAGCTCCCTGACCATTTTGGGCCAGCCCGTGCCTCTGTGGTGTTGCAGCAGGCTGTCCAGGCTTGCATCGACTGTGCTTATCACCAGAAAACTGTCTTCAGCTTCCTGAAACAGGGCCACGGTGGTGAGGTTATCTCAGGTAAGCACCCTTGGGCTGGGCTGGCCTCCTAGCCAGAGGGGCAGGCCTTCTCAACTGGCTGATTTCTGACAAGGCATCCTGCTTCCTCCTTCACACCTGTAGACTCTGGAGAAATGGGAAGGTATTCCATTCCTCAGAGAGTCCTGATTTTCAACTCCCAGAGCCCCTCTGAGCCTTATGTGTATCTCTGCCAAGTAGAATACGCATGCAGACTCTACTTAACTGAGCCTCTAAAGAGACTCCTTTCCCATCTACCTGCTTAGCCTCTCCGTACAAAAAATATATGAGTGGGTTGCTTTAAAGACATTCCAGAAGAAAAAATCCAGAGGGGGCTATATTGCAGCAACAGGAGAATTTCTCCAGACTGCCACAGCCTCCCACCTGGCTTCAGGGAACCACAGAACTCTTCTCTCATACTTTTGGCTTTTTAGCTTTCCAGTGCTAAGCCAGCCCTGATACAAGGGAGTCGAATCCTGGGGCAAAGTGGAAAGAACCATTCCCTTTTTCTTTCCTGCTATGAGAGTCAACTACGTAGTGTTTTTTTGTTTTCACTGAGAATATTCACTTTTTCTGCTGTGCCCTAGTTCTGTTTCAGTTTTCCCTAAGTCCAAAACCCTATTCTTTTTTTTTTTTTGCCAAGGAAGATTTGCCCTGACCTAACATCTATTGTCAATCTTCCTCTGTTTTATATGTGGGTCGCTGCCACAGCATGGCTGATGAGTGGTGTATGTCCACACCTGGGATCCAAACCCACAAACCTGGGGCGCCAAAGCAGAGTATGCTGAGCTTAACCACTAGGCCATGAGGCCAGCCCCCAAAACCCTATTCTTTACTCACCCAACCTATGAAGACTTGACCTAGAGTCTTTCAATCTTAACTGTACACTACCCCATAATCTCCTGCCCCTTCCTTCTAATGAGTTGCAATATTCAGCCTCAGAAAACCCGGCTTACATGGAAGACCCCATAAATAACCCAACTATATTCTTTTAGCAAACATTTATTGAGCCCTTACTATATGTCAGAGGTTATTGCCAGACACTGGCCAGGGGTGGGGGAGAAAAGAAGATGACAGGCTCAGGCTCTGCCCTGGTGGAAAAGAAAGAACATCTCACAGCTAACTGTGAGTGATGTTATAATAGAGAAATGTGGACAGGGTGTATGAGATCCCAGATGAGGGAGTAATTGGCCGTGTGGAGGATGGAGCAGGCAGGGAAGGAATTGTTATAGAAGGCTGAGGACTGCATGGGAAATCAAGCCTCCCTCTCCAGGACCAGGCCACTGCCTGGTCTCGCCTTTGCTTCTGTGCAGCAGTGCATAGGGACCTGGCCTTCTTTACTGCCTCTCTTTAGCTGCTATCACCTACACCTCCTTTAGGGTTCTTCCTCTCTCCCAAAATTGGCTCCCAAGAGTGACCTATCTCCCCATTTCCTTGCTGCCCTGAGAGACAAATGCAGAGGCCTTTTGCTTTTTAAGGATTATACAGATGCTTTTTGAATAGAAATAGATAGGGAGTAAAATAAAGCCAAGCATGGAATAGTTCCAAATGTTGCCAAAATTCTAGTGCCCATATACAACCCAGATTGGCCACCCAAACCATTGCTGGCAATAGCTGTATTCTCCTCTGTTGCTCAGCTTCTCTGTTCTTGGGCAGTTCTTACAGAAACAGAACCCTAAATGAACAGATTTCCTGGAGCAGGTCCAGCCAATTGATGGAGCAGATAGAATTATGTTCACAGTTGTTTTCACAGGTTGGGTAAAATCATTCCAGAGCCTTGGGTGTAACAGACCTGGCCTGGCCACTCCCATTATTTCAAGCCCTTTGGAGTTGGAGGCAAAAACCAAACCCTCAAGGGAGGGAGGTTAGGGAGGGAGAGAGGAAGCCTGGGCACTGATTGCCTCTGTGTAACCAGGTAAGCCTGAGGCAAGTAGTGGGCTGGACTCTTCTTGCCCAGCGCTGCATTGCACTGCCAGACTGACGTGCTCAGCCCTGTTTACTTAACTCCACAGCCGTGTTTGACAGGGAACAGCACACCCTCAACCTCCCAGCAGTCAACAGCATCACCTACGTCCTCCGCTTCCTGGAGAAACTCTGCCACAACCTTCGCAGTGACAATCTGTTTGGCAACCAGCCCTTCACACAGACTCACTTGTCACTCACCACCACAGAGTACAGCCACAGCCACGACAGGTATCTACCAGGTAGGAGCTGGGATGGGGTTTGGGCTAAGAATGGGGCGCAGGGCTAGTGGCAGCACCAACAAGGCCTCAGACCTGCTAGCCTGGCACCAGCTATCCACACATCTGGTTTTCTGTCCCTTAACTTTGCCATGTCTGGGACTTTTTGGTCTCCTCTGATCTTTACTCTGGCTTCAAGATTTTGTCTCCTATCTCTAGAATTGACCTTCTTTCCTCTGGATTTTTATCCCTAGAAAAAGGTGGTTCACGATTCCCTTTCTGAGCTCCAGGCTGCATGTGGAGCCACTGTGAAGTCACAGTACATCTCCCAGTGTGAATCTGGCAGCAAATCCTAACATGGATCTCCCTTGCCAGCGGGAAGGTTTAGTCTCAGGCTACAGATTGAGAAATTTGCTCCCTGGTGATTGGCCATCCACTCTTTCCTTTGGCACGTGGCCCTAACTCCTCAGCACCGCCAGTCTAGCAAGTCAATTCAAGTTCCTGCTGTTTCTAACTAGGCTGGAAAATAACTTTCTTAGTTAACATACCAGACCCACAACAGGAAAGCGGATGCCACGTGGCCGGATCAGTGACTAAGCACTTCCGAGGAAGGTTAAAGAGTGAGTGGAACTCGGCATCTCTAATCTGGAGTCCAGGACACAGCACGACAGGGAGGGAAGGAAAGCTCGGCCCTAAACGTAGCAAGGTAGGTCGTTGTTGAGAGAGGGAGGAAAGGCCCTTTAAAGGAGTCCTGTGGACCTTGTCCTGGCCAGAGGAACAGAGAGGTGGTGCTGTCCGTGTCGGGGCTGTGCTGTCTGCTGATGGGGGAGCATATATCTGAAGGGGGCTCCTGTCTGACCTTCTACACGTCTTGTTCCCATATTGCCTTCCCTATTGTCTTTTCATCATTGTTTTAACAGAATCAATTCTGATAAAAGTGCCACTTTTGAAGAATGTGCTCAGGGAAGTGACTACTCACCCAGCCCAGCCCCGCCTCCGTCTATACTTCTGCACCCAAATGAGCATGGCTTATGTGACTTGAGAAAACATACCTGAATTTCAAATATTCCTTGTGGGCCCCCTGCAGACATATCTGTGACCCCTTCAGTGATCCTTTTTTTCAGAGGGAACTTTTTCTCACCTAACCTGCTCTAGATTGCTTTCTTTCAGCATTAGAATCTCTGAGAACAGAAAAAGGCGTTCTTTAGTTAGAATGCTGCACAGGGAATCTGGGCTGGGCATGGTAGAGTTGGTGCAGACAAAGGCAGGTTGTTAAATATCCCCAGCTGTTGGCATTCAAGAACTCTAAGCTGTACTTCAGTAATGAAAGTTAGGCCTACCTGGGATTCTGGAAGAACGGATACAGGAGAGGGGCTAGCATGTCCTTGAGTGTAGCTGCTAATCTAAAGAGATTTCTCAAAGAAAATAGAAACTCAGAATTCTTAAATGGAATATTGTCATTAAGAACTAAGAGAAACGTACAGGTAGCAACATGCAGACTGGTGGGGTGTACATCATGGGCCTGCAGTCATCAAGGTAGTTTGGGATTGGGGGTATGACCTTTCCTGGGAATTCTGTTCCAGTTTGCATTTCTCTGATTCAACTACCAGGTAAGAGGAAGCAAGCTTTAGCCACTCTTCCTTCTTGCCTCGCCAACTAAGAAAGAGACAAAGCCCAGGGTTATCACATTCCACCAGTGGCTGCCTCCACTTCCCTTCTCTCCTTTTCAGACAGATTCAGCCAACTCTCTGTGCCGTCCTGTGCTCTCTAACCTCTGTTTCTCACAATGGGTGCTCAGCAACTTGGCTGCTCTCACCCTAGTTTCTATTGGTGTCCCTGAAATGACCCTTTTAACTATGTCCGGACAAGACAGAGCTTTGCCTAGATTTCTCACTCCTTCATGCTCCCTCTCCTCAGTTACCTTGTCTGCCTACCTACCTACCTGCCTGCCTTACTGACCCTTTGCTCCACCTCTGCTCGTTTATCATTTTCTGGACTTTTTTGATTATTTACCCAAACCCCTGCCAAAGACAGCAAAGGCTGTCTTTTGCTTTGCCCTTTGGATCTGGTGTTTATCACTCCCACCTTTCTTCCTGGCTACACACATCTGCTAGTTCGACATCCAAAGGCGCCATCTCTGTTATCTAGGTGCTTACTGGAGCCCTCCCGCTATGGCCTGTCTCTACACTGCCCTACCCCATAGGGTCTTGACCTCACTGACCGTGCACTTCCAATATAGCAGATAGTCACCAAATGCAATCACATTAGGCTTCCTTACCTAAATTGAGTCTCACTTTTTTCCTCCAACATTTTATTTTGAAAGGTTTCAAACCTACAGAAAAGTTGTACAAATAGTACAATGAGCAACCATGTACTCTTCACCTAGATTTACCACTTAATTTTTTGTAATATATACTTTATCTGTTTCTCTAAGTATGTATACATATATTTGTATCTTTATATTTTTTGTTTATTTACTGAACCATTTGAGAGTTGACTGCAGATGAGAGACTTGATCCTTAAATACTTTTGTATGTACCTCCTAAAAACAAGGAACACAATACTATTATCACACTCACGAAATTTTACATTAGTAAAACCTACTAGTTGATATGTATAGTCCATATTCAAATTTCCCCAATTATCCCAATAATGTCCCTTATAGCTGTTTTTTTTTCCCTAATCCAAGAGCCAGTGAAGGATCATCCACTGCATTTAGTTGTCCTGTCTCTTTAATTTCCTTTTATCGAGAGCAGTTTTCCAGCCTTTTTTTTCCTACCTTCCATGACATGACATTGGCTCTTTGAAGAATACAGGCCAGTTGTTTGGCTTCAGGACGTTAAAGCATTTATCAAACACTTACTCTGTACCAGATTCTCTACTGGACTCTGGGGAGGCAGAGGTGAAGCAGGCTCGATCCCTGCTCTGAGCGAGTTCCCAGCTGAGAGAGGGAGATATAGGTAAACACGTATGTGGTAAGAGCATGGAACAGGCGGGAGTGATGAGCAAGAAGTAGGGTGAAAGAAGAGATCAGGGAAGGATTCCTGGGGGAGGCAACATCAGATCAGAATCCCTGCTTCAACGTCACGTACATGTCTGGATCAAGTAAGAGGCTTGTGAAGATTAAGTGAGAGGGAGCTCCCTGCGACCCTCTAAAAAACTGACAGTATTAGACAGGAGATAGTATTAATTTAGCTGGTCCTAGTGGCTATACATTTTAGCTATAGTTGAAAGCCACCCAGCATTAACCTCTGGGTCCGCTGTTTTGGGATTGCCTGGGTACCTCTCTGCTGGAGGAAGTGGTTCGTTTGTCCCATGACAATAAGTTCCTTGTGCTTGTCTTTCTAGGTGCCATTCAGGTCTTCTGGGCTAGTTATAAAGTCGTTCTCCTGCCAAAATCCCAAAATTCACAGTGATTAAAGACAAATGAGAACTGTAAAATCTCTTAGGATGCCCCTTCATCCCCACACGTTTCCTCATAGAACTATCAGAGTTATAAGATGACTCAAATGTTCATAATTAATTGAAACTGTATTGATTCCATTATTCAGTCAGACAATCAGTTAGCACAGTGTTTACCAAGCGCACGATGCCAAGCTCTGATTTAGGCATGGAGAATTCCATTGTAAACTAGGAGTCACAGAGTTTACAGCCTGGTAAAGAATACAGACAAATAAGCAAACAATTATTTCATGGGGATGAGTACTTTAATAGGACAAGTTCAGAGTTCAAAAGTTCAAACCAGGCGTGTCAGGGAAGACTTTCCAGAAGAAACGATATCTAAGCTTGGACCTGAAGGAGTAGGATAATCAGGTGAAGATGTCACAGACCCAAAGAGATGGAGGAGGAGAATGATGAAGAATGTTCCTGTTGACTAAGTAGCGTGTGAGACTATGAGGAGCAAGAGGGAACACGACTTGTCTCAGAGGAACTGAATGTCCAGTACAGCTGAAATATGAAGGAGAAGAGAAGAATGTGAAAGACAAGGCTGGAGTGGTAGGCAGAGGCCCAGTCATAAAAGATCTAATGAACCGTGTTGCAAACTTTAAAACTATATCATTGAGCAGTGAGGACCCATTGAAGTGTTTAAAGCCTGGAAAGTAACATAATCAGATTTGTGTTTTAGAAAGCTCACTCAGGATACTATGGGAGAGTGGATTGGAGTGGAGCAAGACAAGTAGGCAAAGAAATGAGTAAGAGATTTTTGCAGAACTCTGTGAGTCCTCCTAGATTTGAAGATTATCCTTTCCTTTGGTATCCAAATCTAAATAAAATAAAATGAACCCCCATCCCACCTAACCTAGAAAAGGTTACATTTTCCTGGTAGTTGCCCATACGTCTATCTCTGAATTCCTGCTTCTGATTCAGTTCTTAATCCCTTCTTTCCCTGTCAACTCAAGTAGCTGATGGTCTCTCTCTACAATGCTTTGCCCCAAACATTTGGTCCAGTTCCTCATCTGTCATTTTTCTAAGGCAAAACTAACACAAGGCTGTTAAGTGTAATAGACTTATACTGAAGTTTTGGGGGAAAAGAAGGTTAATTACTGCAAAGAACAGGAAGCAATTTAACATTTTTGTTTCATCTTCATGTTTATCAGCTGTCAGTAGGAAATCCCTTATTGGCCTCTTTCACCTTAGGCCTCAGCCTACTGCCATTTTCTGGGACCCACTCAAGGTTTGGGGGATTCCATTTCTCCTCTGATTTCTCTATTCCTTCCATCCCATACCTCCTCCTTTTCAAGCTATCAGAGGCAACTCCAAATTAATTTATGGGGAAAAATAATTTCATTTCCTTCTATCTCAGCTTTTCCCTTGTACAACAACGTACGTGTTTTTCATAACCAAAAGTACCATTAGTGTAATTATCTAAATGGAAGAACCATTTAGCTCAGATTTATACTTTTAGCAACTCAGAGAACAGAGGCAAAAGCTGTGGATGGAGAGATTTGTTCCATCTGTTCTGTGTTCCCTTTTTCCACCTTCCTGTAGATTAATGCAGTTTTTTATGATTCTGTTCTATTTCCTCTGTTGGCTTATTAGCTATAACTCTTTATTTTGTTATTTTACTGATTGCTTTAGTTTATATTATACATTTTTTTACATATCACAATCTACCTTAAAATAATAATCATATCCCTTTACATATAGTACAAGAACCTTACAGTCGTATACCATCACTCCCACCTTCTGGCCTTTGTGCTATTGTTATCATACATTTTACTTTTACATATGTTATAAATCCCACTTTACATTGTTATTATTTTACTTTAAATAGGTAATTACCTTTTAAAGATTTTTTTTTAAATAAGAAAAAATTCTTTTATATTTACCCTTTTATATACAGTTACCATTTCTGGTACTTTTCATTCTTTCATATAGAGCCAGAGTTTCATGTCATTATCTTCTCTCTGCCTGAAGGACTTCCTTTAACATTTCTTATAGTTATGGTCTACTGTAGTTGAGTTCTTTCGGCTTTTTGAAAAGGTCTTTTTTTGCCTTTGTTGTTGAAAGATACTTTTGTTGAGTTTAGAATTCCAGGTTGACTTTTTTGTTGTTCAGCTCTTTCAAGATGTCACTCCATTGTCTTCTAGTTTGCATTGTCTCTGATAAGATGTCTGCTGTCATTATTTGGTCTCTTGTATGTGTCTTTTTTCTCTGGATACTTTTAAATAAGTTTTTTATTTATCATTGGTTTTAAGAATTTGATTGTGCTGTGCTTTGGTGAGATTTTCTTCATGCCTCTGGTGCTTCGGGTTCACTGAGCTTCTTGGATATGTAAGTTTATATTTCCATCTAATTTTTTAAAAATTATGCCATTCTTTCTTCATATATATTTTCTGTCACCTCTCCTTTGGGGACTCCAATTAGACATATATTAATCCTCTTGAAGTTTTCCCCACAGTTGACTGATGCTTTTTAATTTTTTTTTTTTTTAGCCCTTTTTCTGTTTTATTTTGGATAAATTCTATAGCTATATTTAAGTTAATTAATCTTTTCTTCCGCAGTATCTAATCTACTCTTCTTCCATCCCATGTATTTTTTATCTCAGACATTGTATTTTCATTTCCAGAAGTTCAATTTTTTTTTTTGTCAAAAAAATAATTTTTTTGGTTTATTTGATTCTCTGGTTTGTATCTTTGTTTCTTATATTAACTAATATTTGATCTTAGTTTTATTGTTCTCCTTGTAGAAGTTCAATATTTTTATACCTTCAGTGTCTCTGCTTAACCTGCTCAGTCTTTGCTCTAACTTCTTAGACATATGAAATATAGTTATGATCACTTCTCCAGTGCTCTGGCCTGTGAACTTTAGCTGCCTTAGCGTACCTGGTCTCTCAGCCCCATCTCCTCAGCTCAGGGAGATCACTGGGCTCTGTCTGATTTTCCCTTTCTGCACTGTGCCCTGGAAACTCTCCAGACAGTAAGCTGGGAGCAAGCCTAGGGCTCACCTCGTTTGTTTCCCCTCTTTCAGGAATCACTGTTCTGCACTACCTGATGCCCAGTGAAAACTATCATTTCATATATTTTGTCTTTTCTTTTAGTTGTTTCAAGCAGTAGGGTATATCTAGTCCCTGCTACTCCACCTTAGCTGGAGTGGAAATCCAAAATGAATCTTTAGGGCTGGCCCCGTGGCTTGGCGGTTAAGTGCGTGCACTCCGCTGCTGGCGGCCCGGGTTTGGATCCCGGGTGCGCGCCGACGCACCGCTTCTCCGGCCATGCTGGGGCCGAGTCCCACATACAGCAACTAGAAGGATGTGCAGCTATGACATACAACTATCTACTGGGGCTTTGGGGGGAAAATAAATAAATAAAATCTTTAAAAAAAAAAATGAATCTTTAATCTACGTACATCTTATCTCTACTGCCTTCACCATCATCCTCCCTCTCCTGGCATGAGAGAATCTTTCTGGCTTATCTGGTCTCCTTACTACCTCTCTTCCTCTCTGCTCCATTTTCTATTTTATAGCCCAAAGACTCTTCTTAAAGCATAAATTAGATTATCGCACTTGCCCACTTAAAACTCTTTAGTGGCATTCTAATGCACTTATAATAAAATCCAGATGCCTTTCTTTGGTTTGCTGAGTCCTGCATGATCTGGCCCCTGCCTACCTCTCCAAACTGATCTCTTTGTTCCATACATTTTAGCTACACAGTTTTTCCCCCAGTTTCCCTGAATATTCCAAGCTGCATTCTACCTTAAAGTCTTTCTGTATGCTACCAGGCAGCAGCCCCTAGCCATTGCACCAGGGAACCTACAGCAGATCCTTTCCCATGATTAGATTCTACCCAACCACATCAGTTTCTTAGCCTTTCCAGTAGAATTCTTTGCATGTAAGGGGTAAGCTGGGTCCTGACCATATTTGTATCCTTTGCAGTTTTTCTTAGAGAGTGGATGTTTAGATAATGCTTTGGATTCATTTGGGGCCTCCAATGAACCCTAAAACCAAGCACATTGTCTGGCACACCTCCACTTGGACTCTTCTTCAGACCACAGCTTAAACATCAAGTTGTCAGGGAGACTTCCCAGGGTCTTCTCATCTAAAAATGGTCCCCTGTTATTTTCTGTCTGAATATCCTATTCCTTTCCTTAGTAATATTTACAATAGTTTCTAATTTTTTTTATCAACTTGTATTTTGTCATCCTCCTAGATGGAACTAGATTAAGTGTTCCATGAGGGGAGGGATAATATCTCTCTCTTTCATCATTCTCAGTATCCATCACCCTAACTGACACATAGTGAGTATTTAGTATTTGTCGAATGAAAGGATAGTAGAAGATATGCAACATGTGGTTCAGAGAGGGTTTTTTTTTAACATGAGACAGACTTAAGCATGCGCAAGGACTGTGCAAGTCCCTGGGTCCTGTGTTGAGGTAAGAATTTTCTTAGATCCACAGCTCTAGTTTCTTGGTCATTCAATTCACCCAATGAAGATGAAAGCATGGTTATGAGCACAGAGTCCTTGCATCTCAAAAGTGGAAAGTACTGTAGAGATGATCTAGTGTCTAGCCCAACAGATGAGAGTGGTCATCTGACCTCTGCTAAAATACTCCTAATGACAGATTGCTCACTATTGCCTTTGGTAATCGATTTTATTTTTGCACACCTCTGATTGCTAAAATACCTTTCTTTTTGAGTTGAAATATGCCTTCTTTTTTTTTTTTTTTTTTTGGTGAGGAAGATCAGCCCTGAGCTAACATCTGCCAATTCTCCTCTTTTTTTTTTCTGCTAAGGAAGACTGGCCCTGGGCTAACATCCATGCCCATCTTCCTCTACTTTATATGGGACGCCACCACAGCATGGCTTGACAAGCAGTGCATCAGTGCGCGCCTGGGATCTGAACCGGCGAACCTCAGGCCGCCGCAGCACAGTGCGCACACTTAACCGCTTGCGCCACCAGGCCGGCCCCTAAATTTTGCCTTCTTATAACTCCTGGCCCCTCTTCCTCTCTCTGCCTTCCAAAAGAACAAGTCTACCTCCAGCCCTCTTCCCTTCCCATGACTGCCCTTAGGGCATTTGTCTCCTCTGACTTTTCTCCAGATTATATATATTCCCAGACCTTTTCTCCTTTGCCATGATTTCTAGGCTCCTCACCACCATCCTGGTCATCCTTCACTGGGAACTCTAGTTTTTAAGGTCAGCTTTGCAATGTGATACTCAGAGAAGATCTTCTTCTCACTGATAATAAAAGCGTAAGGGCAAAGTCCTTGTCTGTCTGTTTACCTCTGCATACCTCATACCTTGCATCATGGCTAGCACACAAAGGGTGTTCAACAAATTTTTGTTGAGTGAATGAATGAGCTCCCTCTCATGCTCATGATTCTCATGTCTCCAGCATGTCAACAGCAAGTTTAATTTACGTTGACTCTATGAGGTTAAGGATTTTCGTCTCCATTTTATGGATGGGCAAACAATCCCAGAAAAAGGCAGTGATCATTGACTAATGATCCTGCCAGAAATAGAACTCCAGTCTTCCAGCCCCGACTTCTGACCCCTGGGCCAATGGTTTCAAAGTTTGTTTTGTTTGGCACTAGAACTCCTTTTTTATGAGGGTAAGATTATGTGGAGAGCCCTACTCACTTGGCCTCCCTCTGGAGACCCCCAAGGCTCTGTGGAGCAGAGTTTGAAAGCACTGCAGTCGCCTATCCTGGCATTACCCTACTGAGGGCAGCTAGGACCTCATTTGATCAGCTTTAAGCAGACTAGGACCTCCCAGAGCCTTGAGCATGATGCTTCATTTTTCCACTACATGTCAACAGGATTTGCTGACCTTGCCTAGTCCAGGTGCCACCAGTCCGGATTTCAGACCCCTCAACTCACAATCTAGATCTCAGTTACCATTCTTAGCAGTGCTGAGAGGAAGAGACACTTACTGATTTGCATCAGCATCTGGTGAGCCCCTGGCATTATCATCATAATTATTCTTCACGTCAGTTAGCTCACATAAGGCAGGTGATACTGTCCCCAGTCTTTGCTCAGTTAAGTGAGGGCTAGAAAGGTGTGGCTACCCTGCTGATAAATGCAGAAGCTAGATTTCATCTTTTTCTGGAGCTATTGCAGAGAACTTAGGTTTGCCACTCTAACTCTGAATGAAGAATAAAATAACAACTTCCCACCTTTGTAAAGTCCATCCCATTCCATTTTCTCATTTGATATTCTCAGCATGACAGAGGGTGATTTTTCCCCCATTTTACAGACGAGGAAACTGGTACTCAGAGAACACAATCAATTTGCATGGGATCACATACCTCAACAAAGGCAGGAGCCGAGGCCTCCTATTTCCTGGGTTTGGGTTTGGGTTCCTGTTCTTATCTCAAAGAGGAACACTGCTATAGTCATATCTCATAAAAAATAGGAATCTGAAACCTCATCCACAGAAAGAGGGTGGGATATGGTTTAGATATGCTGGAGTCGCAGGGACTTCTCTCTTCAGAACCATTTCTAGAGAAGGGCTTCACCAGTTAAACTCCCCTAAGCTAAGGGTGAATAACTGTCTCATGCTAGGTTTGACTTTAAGCCCATGGTTACCAAGCAGTTTTAGGTGAGTATTAGAAAGTAGTCCTAAAATCCTAAACCATTTTGCCACGGAGATCTTAATGTGTGCCAGACAATGTGCTTGAATTTAGTGTGCATCAGAGGCCCTGCATGCATCCCAAGCATCATCTAAACACCCAATCTCTAGGAAAAACCACAAAGGACAGTGATACGGTCCAGTACTGAAGGCATCCCACATAAGCAGAGAATGCTGTGGCCAGGACTAAGGAGCTGACTTGGTGTGAGTAGAACCCAATCATGAGAAGGAGTCTGCTTTGGGTTCTGTAACGCAGTGATTAGGGGCTGCTACCTGGTTTGGACCATGGCCTGGGTGTAGAAATGTGAGAATGAGTTTCCCTTTACAAAGGCTTTCATAGCTATTCTCTTTTGATATTCATAAGCCCCTTGGAAGAAAAGGGCTTCCCATGTTATAGATGAGGAGACTGAGGTTCTGGAGGAAGCACCTTGCCTGCTGAGTGGCAGAGCCAAATTCTAACCCCGTTTCTGGTCTCCATGCCCACACTCTCACCACTGTACAACCCCAGCTTCCTTGGAATGTTTCTATAGAACAGGCACATATGAAAGGAGAGAGGAAACATAGGAGCAGATCCTTTGCAGACAGGCCTTTAGCCAGGCATCAAGAAGCGTTTCTGAGATGTCCTGCTGACTGAGCAGAGGGTCAGCTTCTAAAGTGCCCTCATCTAAGTAAATGTATCTCTGCTCCAGCACCTCTGTTTCCTGCTCTAGCATCTTACATGTAAGTCAGCCTCTTAGAATAGCTCTATTTTTTTAAGATTCTCCTTATCCAGAAAAAGCATAAGACATCCAGACCAGAAGAAACCTCAAAGACCCTCTAGTCTAAGAGGAAGAGTCTCTAAGGAGATCCAGGTCCAGAGAGTAGCATTGGGCTTGACGAAGGCCACCTAGTGAGAGCCAGAACCATGACTGGTACACAGGCCTCCTGAGACCCAGCCCAGGCCTTTCTGTTTTGCTGCCTCTTGCTTCACCCAAACAGGTACCTGGGAGGCAGTGCCCTGGCAGTCCTTCCAGGTTAGTCCTGGCTCTCACTCTGGTTTTACTGTTTTCCAGGTGAAACCTTTGTCCTGGGGAATAGTCTGGCCCGGTCCTTGGAGCCACATTCAGACTCAATGGATTCTGCCTTGCATCCCACCAACCTCGTCAGCACCTCCCAAAATCTTCGAACCCCTGGGTACCGGCCTCTGCTTCCATCCTGTGGCCTCCCACTGAGCACTGCCTCAGCTGTGCGCAGGCTGTGCTCCAGGGGTAAGCTTACCAGAGTTCTGGCCTTCCTGCCCTCCCTCACTCTTTCCTTCCTTCCTGAGCTTTGGGAGGCCAGAAGGGACTTAGCTCTGTTGCCCCCTGCCTGGAGGTGGGACTGGGGTCTGGGCTTACTGTTGTGCCTGGCTAGACACCTAGGAGACAACTGAAGCTCTGGGATTGGCTTGAGAATAACGGAAACTAAGAGCCAGAGACCTAGAGCCAAAGGGACAGGGGAAGGATTCATTCATTCTTTCATTGGCCATTTATTTGAACACCATCTGTGTTTGGCATGAGGATGCAAAAATCAATCACTGCTTGTCCTCAAGGAGCTCACACAGTCTTGTGGGAAAGACGGACACTTAAGCAGATAATTGTAAAATAACATCTTGAGTGCAGTTACAGAGATATGCTTTGTGTAGTATGAAAACTGCAAGAAGGAACACCCAACCCAAGCTCGGTATCCAGAGGAAGCTTCCTTGAGAAAGCAGCTCTGTCTGAGACTTTAAAGGGTGACTTTATGAATGGCCATATCAGAGGTGGTAGGGGAGAGAGAGCTTTCCAGGAAAAGAATACAGCATGAACAAGGGCAAAGGGATAAGAACTAACACAGATTGTACCAGGAACTATATGCAGTTTGGTATTGCCGAAACATAAGATGTAATACTGTGACTTCAAAGAGAAAAGCCTGGAAAGGTCAGGGGTTATATCATAGAAGACCTTAAGTGCTATGTTAAGGAATTTGGAGTTGATCTTGTAGGCAATGCAAAGCTATTGAAGGTTTTTAATTCGAGGCAAAACCTGAACAGGTTTGTGTTTTCAAGAGATCATTGACAACTGTGTTGAGGATAAATTTGAGGAAGGACAAGACTAGAGAGACCAGTTAGGAGGTTACTAGAGGGGGCCAGACCAGAAGTGATAAAAGCCTTGATTAGGGCTGTGGTAGAAGATTTGTAGAAGAGAAAATAGATTTGAAAATTACTCATGATGTAAATTTAGTCAGATTTGAGGATTGTGAAGAAGAAGGGAGTGGGAATGTCTCCCAGGTTTCTAGATGGGGTAGCTGGATAGGTGGTGGTGCCATTCACTGAGAGAAGGAACCAACCATAGAAGAGAAAGAAGGGTAGGGATCCCAGGTGTCATCTAGGTGATATCCAGCAGGTGGTGGCTCTGCAGGTCTAATTTTCAAGGAAGAGGACTGAGCCAAAGTTAAATATTTAGGAGTCGTGGAGTCATCAGCATATAGATGATAATTGAAGCTGTGGGATGAATGACACCCACTTTCCAGGAGTACATGTAGAATGAAAAGAACAGTTGACTAAAGATCGGATTCCTGGGGACCAACAAAGTTCAGGAGGTGAGAACAGGAAGAGGATCCCACCAAGGAGACAAAGGAATAGTCGAATGTGAGGAAAAACAGAAGAATTTGGTATGGTGATGACCCGGGGTACAGAGAGTATTTTAAGGAGAGCAGAGTACAACAAAGGTTCGGTAAAATAAGGACTGAGCAATATCTATTGGATGTGGTGATGAGTGGGTAATTGGTGAACTTAGCAAGAGCAGCTTGAGTGGTGGTGGAGGGTGGTGAGGGCAGACTTGCAGTGGGTGGGGATATCAAGAAGAATTTGATGAAAAAAAAAAAGATGGTGACCTTCAAAAGAAGGTCTTCTGGAATGGGAGTACATTGAGCATGTTTATCAGCAGACATCTTGAGCCATCCAAGAAGAAGAAATTAAGAATATAGGAAAAAGGAGAAAGTAAGGCCTTGGGGGTAGTGGGAAAGTAGGGATCAAGGGCATAGACAAGTGGATCAGTCTTAAGCCAGAAGAAGGCACATCTTGTTCTCTGAGACTGGAGAGAAGATTGATTGTGGCCATAAGTGAATGGAGAGAAGGCTCAGTAGGGAAGGGCTTAGGAGTGCTGAAAAATTGAACTAGTCGTAAAGAAGACACGAGGAAATGGATCAAGGAGAAGGTTTGCAGGAAACACCAAAGGCCCAGTTATGCTTGGAGACTAGTTTGCCAGTTTGCAAGAAGTATGGTTTTCTTCTGTGGTTCTTAGAAACCTAGATGTGGGGTGAGAAAAGATAGTTTGAGAACTAAGGTTTTATGCTGAGCTAGTAGAGCAAGAAGGGGCAGGGAGTGGGGGAGCATGTAAAGGAATCGATGGAGCTGGAGGGAAAGCAGTTTAGATCATCAACACTGGGTCTGGGCAGGGTAGAAAAGAAACAAGGCTGAGACAAGGCTGAAGGATGGGGGAAATTGTAAGTTTGGTGTGCTAAAGAGCTTTGTGATGTAATGGTTATAGTGGACATAAGTCCCAAGAGAGTTGGAAAAATGGGAGGTGGAGGTCCGAGAGTGGGACGGTTAAAATTCTGAAGTGGAGTTGATGGCAAGAACTGGACAGTGGTCTTGGCAGTAGGTATTTGAAGTAGAGTAAAGGTGAGGGTCACTGGAGGCAAGAAAGCTGAATGGATTGCCTCTGAGGATTATGGCAAGAATTGGGGTGGAACAGAAGGTAGTGAGCTAAGTACCAAAAAATCATCATGTAACAAGGGGTAGAAACCCAGAGATCTATAGATGACAGTGATCAGGAAGAGCAGATGGTTGGGTATATGTTTGGCCTCTGGAGAACATGAGCTTTCATAGGAGAACAAAAGCAACAATTGGGAGACAGGAGAATGCCACCTCCACACCCCCACTGTAGCCTCCTCCAGCCCAGGATGTATGGGGTGTGAAAGAATAAGAAGACTCCGTTAGCAAGGCCTGCAATGGAAAGAACTGACCTCAGGAAAGAGAGATTTCAGGAAGGCTGAGACAGGGGAAGAAGCCTGGGATGCCCCTCCCCAACCCTAACCCCAGCAAGACAGCAAAATGGAGTATGAGGAGCTCTGAAGTTGAGGTAGAGCTGGGAGTTGATTCCCTGCCTTGAGACTTGGGTAAGTCATCTCACCTCTCAGGTCTTCATGTTCCTCATATGCAAAATGGAGATGGTGATATCGACCTGGTCTTTTCATAAGAGTGTTAAAAGGATCAAATGGAAGCAGGGAAATGGGATCATTTTGGAAACTAAATCATTTCCCAAGTATGAGGGAGTTACTGTTATTGTTGTCTTCCCCAAGGCCCTGTTTCTATTAGGTATGCTTGTTGATAGGCTGTCTCGCATGGCACTGGCCTTAGATGTCACTGTTGTCTCCCAGGCGTCTCCCCTCTTCCTTTGGAATATATTGTGAGTCTGTCGGCCAGGTCATGGTCCAGATCTGTTTTGACACCGAAGAACCTCACAAGGCTATGAAAGGATTCTATTTGGTTGGCCCTAGAATTGTTTCTCTCAATTTAGATATTGAGTCTATCCCCTCTCTTATTTCATTAATCCAAGATGATTAGGCATCAGTTTGTTAGTCTGGCCTCTTACGGATGCGCCTCACCTGCCTTAGTCGTTCTCAGACTGAGACACTCTACGTTCCTTGAAAAATAACTGCCAGCTGTGGTAACCCCATTGGATGGAGGAGGAGAACCCTGGTGTAGTCTGTCTGCAGAAATGGGGATAGGAAAAGACAGAGACAGGGCACCAACTTATCTCCTTCTGTCTGGTCCTGGACAAGTCACTTCACTTCTCTGGACCTCAGTTCCCTTATCTCTAAACTGAAATTGATACTTCCTTCCAGGGCTGTTTTAGGGACAAAAGAGCTGACGATGGTAGAGGTTCTTTATGATATTCATATATCAGACCACTCTCCACCACGTTCACCACTACCACCTGGTGCGTGCCACAGTCATCTCTTGCCTGGACTATTATAGTGTCTTTTTTAACTGGTCTCCTTTGCTTCTGTCCTGGCCCCTCTAGAGTCAATTATCAACATAGACTGTGAGAGTGATCCTTTTAGTTGTAAGTTGGTTTATGTTACTCTGCTCAAAACTGATCTACCTTCACTCAGAAAATCCAGTCATTTTTTAGTGACATACAGTGTCCTCTATTATCTGCACCCCTAATCCCCCACCCCATCACACACATACATACACATCTCTCAGATGTTCCTTCCTACCACTTTCTCCTCATTCACTCTACTCCGGCGCACTAGCCTCCCTGCTAAACCTTAAATGTGCCAATCACTCTTCTACCTCAAGGTCTTTGCTCAAATGTCATCATTTCAGAGATGTCTTTCCAGACCACCATATAAATTAGCAAGTTCCTGCTGCCTGCCCTCATGGAGTGTATATTCTAATGGGAGTAGGCTGACAGACAAACACATAACTATATAATAATATTATATATGTGAATATATGTGTGTGTGTGTTTATATATATAATATCAACTCTGGTTTCTCTTCAGATCGTATAAATCTTTCGCCTTTTACTATAATATCATTATGTGTGTGTGTGTGTGTGTGTATAATACTGTGTGTGGGTGTGTGTGAGAGAGAGAGAGAGATTCCTAGCTTCCCTGGGTAGAGGAATTAGCTAAGATGGTCCAAGAAAGGTATATTCATGTGTATGTCTTCTCTCTGCTCTCCATAATCTCTGCAATTGGTTTCTCTCTTAGCATCACAGTGGACTTTTAAGGCAGGGAGAAGTGGCTGGCTCACAGAGCCCTCTACAACTTCCTATCTGCTATCACCTCTAAAACGCCACTGAAATTTCCATGGCGCTAATCACCCCTGCTCGTTCCAGGACACTTCTCCTGTGGTCTGGTCAGTACATGCTTGAGAGATAATATACTGGAGTGTCTTCCCCAGCGAGCAGGGGCTGGGCCAAGCAAAGTGTGCTTTGACTTTTAGACCTGGGACCCAACCCAAAATGAAGGAACATGGGAGGAGATTTTTAGCCTTTGCAAGAGATAGTTGAAGAGTAGATCCCTTCTACTTTCACAGGTATGTTTCAGCTCTGCCACTTAGTTGTGTCAACTGACTGGACATCTCCTGGGTGGTGAGGATACAGACAATGAGCAAGGCAAGGTCCCTGCCTCAAGACAGACATAGTCTGGTGGGGGAGACAGAAAAATACACAAATAACTATTAGATATAATCATTCATTCACTAACAGACGTGTTTGAACATCTGCTATGGCAGACCAGGCACTCTTTTATGTGTTGGGGACTGTAAAAGGCAAACACTCTCCTCTTGTGTGTCTCCCCACTCTCAATACTCTATTCAACACTACTTCACCTCTGACACCAGACGTGTGGGTTCTCCACACACCAAGCAATTCTGCAATACCAGCTGGGTGTCCTACAATTTAACTCAATTCTGACACTATCTACCTGGAGATAGCATCAGATCCCACAGGTTAAGGGCTCAGTCCCGCAAGAATGCACCCCTGCTTCAGATGCCAGTCAAAAGTTCAGGTTGTAACTTGTGCTTCTGACTGACTGGCTGTAAATTGGAGGTTTCCACCATCCCCTCCTCGGGTTAGATTAATTTGCTAGAGTGGCTCACAGAACTTAGGAAAACTATTTACTTACTAGATTACCGTTTTTTTAATAAAAGGATACAACTCAAGAACAGCCACATGGAAGAGATGCATAGGGCAAGGTATGTGGGAAGAGGTGTGGGGAGTTTCCATGCCCTCTCCAAGCACACCACTCTCCCAGTACCTCCATGTTCACCAACCCGGAAGCTCTCCGAACCTCTACCTTTTGAGTTTTTATGGAGGCTTCATTACCTAGGCATGGTTGATTAGATCATTGGACCTTGGTGACTGAACTCAATCATCAGCCCCTCTCCCTTCCCAGGACATTGGGGGTGGGACTGAAAGTTCCAACCCTCTCATCACCTGGTTGGTTCCTCTGGCATCCAGCCCCTATCCTTAGGGGCTCTCCACAAGTCACCTCATTAACATACTCTGAAGTGACTGAAAGGGGCTTGTTATGAATAACAAAAGATGCCTTCATTTCTCTCACCACTTAGGAAATTCCAAGGATTTTAGGAGTTCTGTGACAGAAGGAGGGATGAGGACCATGTATATATGTTTCTTATAAATCACAATATCACGAGGACATAGCAGGGAACAAACGAGGAGAAGACAAATAATAAACATAAATGCATGAAATTATTTTAGGTAGTGATATGTGCTGGGGAAAAAAAACTAGAGTATGCAATTGGATTGAGAGTGACTACGTAGGGAATCGAGTACTTTTACTAGGAGATCAGGGACGGCTTCTCTGAGGAATTGATATTTGAGATGAGCCCCAAATGTTGAGAAGGAATCAGGTATGCAAAGATCTGGAAAAAGGACATTCCAGACAGAAGAAATTGCAGGTCACAGAATAAAAGCACAGCCTATTCAAGAAGCAGAAATAAAGCTAGCGTGTCTGGAGCTTGGCGAGTAAAGTAGGGAGGAGGGGGATGAGGTCAAAGGTAGAAAGGGCCAGATGATAGAGTACCTTCTAGACCATAGGAGTTCGGATTTCATTTCATGTGCAACGAGCAGCCATTGCATTGACTTTTTAGGGGGGATTGACATGGTCCAATTAATTTTTAAAGGTTGCTTTGACTGCTTTATGGAGAATAGATTATTAGGGTGATGTGATGGGGGAAAACGTGTAGAGATTGAGCTGTAACCAAGAGATACATGAAATGCTTTGTGAAATAAATTATTTCAGTATTAGGCCAGAAAAATTTCATAAAGGAGCTGGTCCTTGAAGCTGTCAACACAGATAATCCATAATCGATCTATAAATCAAAATTGGGGTAAGTTTATTATATGAGCCAGTTTTGAGGACTATAGCCCAGGAGCACCCTTCACCAAGAAAGGAAGCAAGTGAGGTGAACAGAGTGATTATATACCATCTTGGAACAAGGAACATCCATCACATAGGACAGGAATATCTCTTTTACTGCAATCAAGAGATGCTTTGCTAGTGCAGCAGGTCAGTGGTCACAAGATGAGCACAGCAGATCGGTGGTCATGAGATGAGCTTAGTAGGTCAGTAATTAATCCTTAGTTTCTGAGAAGAAATGCTTATCTATAAAGAAATAGTGATATGGGGGGGAGGCAATATCCCCATCTTTAAAGGCATCATTCTCGGCTTTGGGACATTGTAAATGTTTAAAGCAGATGTACAGTGCATGCTCAGCAGGCCACATCAGGCCTTTCTGGAAAAACAAGGTCAAGCCGAATTAGTTTTAAACCAAATGCCTTCCTCATATACTCCAGTGTATCTTATTGCTTTTGATTTATTCATCAAAGCCAACTCTTGCTTAGCTAAGTTGGAGTTGGTGAGAAGAAAAGGAGAAATTGAAGAGAGAGAAGGGGGCACATTCCAGGCAGAGGGGATGAAACGTGCCAGAGACCTATGGCAGGTGATGATCAAAATACAGAGATCCCAAATCCCACAGGGGAAATGGGAAGAGCTGTATTTGAGCTAAGATTGAAATAAAAGCTCTTAGCAGAGTACTAAATTAACACTGAGATTCCTGGCAGCCAACGCAAAATTCTTTTCTACCTCCTGCATTAGGCCATAGCAAGGGCAACTATTCTCCAAGCCTTGGAAGACGCCCAGGGTATTATCCACCACTTTTTTTCTCCCGAGGCCCCAAGGGTTTGGCTCTAATCTTGCCCTGCTCCCAAGGTCTGTCTAGAAATGGTCCCCAGAGCCAAGGCAAAAGCAGCCTCACCCACATGCCCCCCCACTAAACACAAGTAATCCCCTCACCTTGTTGTTACCCCTGACTCAGGTCCAGGTTGAATCACAGCCTCAATGTAAAATTCCTTCTGACCATTTACAAAATCAGATCTACCCTTAAAGAACAAAGATTTGACTTAAGGAGAATCTCAAGCCCTCAGTCTCTTTGTGGAAAACCCTTCCCTCCCTTAGCTGCCTCCAGTTCCTCTGCTCTGGCACTGCTGTGAGCCTCACCCACAGGGCCTTCGGGACATGCAAGGAGAGTGGCGGGGAGTTACAAACGCGTCTCCACCCATTATGGCAGGTGCCCTCCTGTCCTGCAGGGTCGGACCGATACCTGGAAACCCGGGATGCCTCTCGACTGAGTGGCCAGGACCCCTCCTCATGGACAGTTGAGGACGTGATGCAGTTTGTCCGAGAAGCTGATCCTCAGCTTGGACCCCACGCTGACCTCTTTCGCAAACACGTAGGTGCCCCTGCCTGACCTCTTCCGTGTTCGCTGGGAGTCTTGCTTCTGCAACTTGTAGACTCTTAAAGGGCATGGGCTATATATTTGTTCCAGGTCCTTTGAAACTGAGCACAGGAGACACCATACAAACTTAGAGACAGCATCTTGGGTCTTAAACAGATTCACTGGGCACTGGGTTTAGCTCACTCCTGTAGTCTGGGATCTGATTCAGCCACGTTCCTACTGGGTGTATGTCCTATGGACTCAGTCCTGGGGACAGGCTTGCCTCTTTTCCTTGCTCTCCCATCTGCCTGCCTTGGCCTGAGAATCAGGGACCTCAGCCCAAGTTAAAAAGTCGCTTGCGGGAGCTGGCCCAGTGGTGTAGTGGTTAAGTTTGCACACTTCGCTTCAGCAACTCAGGGTTTGCAGGTTTGGATCCCAGGCGTGGACCTACACGCCATTCATCAAGCCATGCTGTGGCGGTGTCCCACATACAAAATAGAGGAAGATTGGCAGAGATGTTAGCTCAGGGACAATCTTCCTCAAGCAAAAAAGAGGAAGATTGGCAAGAGATGTTAGCTCAGGGACAATCTTCCTCACCAAAAAAAAAAAAATGTCCCTTGCGGGGCCAGCCCAGTGGTGTAGTGGTTAAGTTCACATGCTCTGCTTCAGCAGCCCTGGGATTCATGGGTTCAGATCCCAGGCACAGACCTACACATTGCTCATCAAGCCATGCTGTGGCGGCATCCCACGTACAAAATAGAGAAAGGTTGGCACAGATGTTAGCTCAGGGACAATCTTCCTCAAGCAAAAAGAGGAAGATTGGCAACAGATGTTAACTCAGGGCCACTCTTCCTCACCAAAGGAAAAAAAAACGTCCCTTGCCAAGTGGCCTCCAACTCTCCAACCTCATCAGTCCCCCATCCTCTACCTGCTCCTCTGTGAGCCTCCAACATCTGTTTGAGTGACCATTTGGCTGTTTGGCCAGGGATTGCTCCTGATCCTCCTGCAGTGACCATACTCCTAATGTGGGGCTCAAACCCGCTTCCTCATAGCCCCTTCTGCTTCTGCCCCTTGGTCACTCAGAACAGATCTGCTCCTCTCATTGCTCATTTAAATCTTTCGTGCCAGGTGGATTTGGAGGGTGCTCTTAGATCAAGCCTGAAGGTCTCATAGCTGCTCAGTTAGTGCCTGCTTTGTGCCTAGCTCACACAGAGGGTCCCTGCCACTCAGGAGGGAAGATGACTCACAGAATTGAGGGTCAATATAAAAACAGTCTCTGATAAGTGACGAGTACACTGACTGGGGGGGCTTCCTGGAGGAAATGGAATTGATGCATCTCAGAGGTTTGGGAGGGTGGAGAAACTGCCTCTCAGGCAGCAGAGAAAGGAAATTGGTATAAACGTGTATGAAGAGCTTATTAGCCCAGGGGGTTCAGTAGTAGATTTCGGGGGGAGGGATGGTTGGAGACAGAAGGTGGGGAGAATAGGTAGGCTTTAGTGTCACAGCAGGTTCAGTAGACCCCATGTTGCTGGTACTTCCCTGGGTGAACCTGGGGTGGACAGACCAACCAGGCTTCTGATGGCGCCTCCCTCCATCCCCCCCAGGAGATCGATGGCAAGGCCCTGCTTCTGCTGCGCAGTGACATGATGATGAAGTACATGGGTCTGAAGCTGGGGCCTGCACTCAAGCTCTCCTACCACATTGACCGGCTGAAGCAGGGCAAGTTCTGAAGCAGGGAGACGCAGCCTAGACAACTGAGGGCTCAAGCAAATGGGGGCAGTCTTCTCCCAGGAAGGAGAGCCATCAGCCCACTTCCTGGTGCCTCATTGGGGTTCAGGGCCACCTCAGGACTCCAGGAGCCTGTGTGGAGCCACCACTACTACCCCCTCCTGCTATGATATGTCCTTCCATGAAGGACTGAGGAGGTGAGAGTGTGGGGCCCAGGGCTGGTGCTGCTCTTCCCCTCAGCCCTGCCTCAGCTCTGAGGTCTCTCTATATTTATTTCTCAAGCCTGGCCGGCCTCTCACCAGGAGTTTAGACTGAACACCTTCCAAGTGATGGAGGAAGGGGCCGACTCCTGAGGCCTCAGAAGATGGGGCCCTGAATTGATATTTGTGCCCAGTCCCCTTACCACCTGCTGGGCCTGGTGTGGCACCCCATTGCCCCACAACTCCTGCCTTCTCCTCACAAGATTCCCAGAGTCCAAACTCATGGTGCAAACCTCTACCTTTTTTAAAAAAAGATCTTTTCTTATTGTTAATTTATTGCCTCTGGCACTTGGGCAAGCCCTCCAGTTCATACTTCTCTTGCTCCAGACATTGGGTTTCAGGAGGAGAGACACTGCCCTGCCCTGGTCCCAGAGAGGCGTGGCCCCTTTTCAGAGGACGTTACTCTAGGGCACTTGCTCTTTGGGATGGACAGACCCGTAAAGCCTTGACCACATCACTCAGCATGGGGAGGAGAGGGTCCCTGTCCCCTTCCACTCTCTTCCTCCACTGGGCCCCTTTGTAGCCCTGGGCCTCATCTCTGGGAATGGGAATCCCCTGCCCCACACTGTCCCCCACCACAGCTCCTTGCCCTGGCCAGAACTGCTGTGGAAGAAGGCGGGGCCCAATGATTTTAGGCCAAGAAGGCCCTAAGGTAGATGGGAGGGAAGGGTCTCCAGGCCTGAGTCTGGTTGCACCCACTCCACGTCCATATGCTTCCTTATTAAGCAAGTCAGCAGCACAGCTGCCCCTGCTGCCATCTGGACTTATTTTATGTCGATTTGTTTGTTAATAAAAAACAATATAGATGCCAATGTCTTTTTAATCAGTCAACAGCCAAATCACTGTGCCTCCAAAGGGAAGGTCGGTACCCTTCTCTTGGTCTTAGTTTCCTCGTATATAAAATGAGGAGCTTGGACAAGATGATCCCCAGAGGATTCCCCAGAGGCTAGCCTGCGTCATACCCCTTGCCCCGACCAGGGGCCAGGTACTCAAGTCCAGGGCCACACGTCCTTGTTTCTAATGGGGTCGCAGAATAAGGTTAGGGGGCAGCAGCACAGTGCATTATAACCTGAGAATAACTAACACCTTTATGTCACTTACTGTGTGCCCCACAAACTGTTCCACATGAATTAGAGTTATCTCATTTAGTCTTGACAACAAACCCATTTTATAAATGACGAAACTTAAGCTCAGATCACATAGCCAGGAAGTGCCAAAGTAGGCATTTGAAGCCAAATAATCTGATGCCAAGGCCAAGACCGAGGTTCCAGCCAGTCCAGCTGTTTGCTTTGACACTGTGGGTCAGTTATTTCCCTTTGGGCCCATCTGGCACTGAGGGGTTTGGATGAGGAGACTTCTGAGGCTTGCCTACAAGCTCTCACCAGTGACTAGTTCTGACATTGTGACTAACTTAGAACGTCTTTTCCACTCAGCCACTGTGAGGTTCAAATGTGGTCCCCGTGGAGCAGTCAGAGTCAGGGCTGCCAAACCAGAGTAGGCCTCTGTTTTCCACAGACTCCTAGACATTGGGGGATGGTAGGCTGTGCTGTTCACTCAGGGTACTCCCAAAGAGGGCCTTACTGAACCCTGATGGTGAACTTCTGGATGTGACCCTCACCCAAGAGACACAGGGAGAAGGTGACACCAGCGTGTGTAGGCAGGCCGGACGTGCTGCAAGGCTGGGCCTTGAGAAGCAAAGTGGCACCCACCCCACTTTACCCCCTGTCATCAAAAGCATACAGCTGGGCCGGCCCCGTGGCTTAGCGGTTAAGTGCATGCGCTCTGCTGCTGGTGGCCCGGGTTCACATCCCGGGCGTGCACCGACGCACCGCTTCTCCGGCCATGCTGAGTCCGCGTCCCACATACAGCAACCAGAAGGATGTGCAGCTATGACATACAACTATCTACTGGGCCTTTGGGGGAAAAAAAATAAATAAATAAAAGTAAAAAAAAAAAAGCTTACCAAGGAACATTGATTGAGGGCGTCTTGTGCTAAGCAGTTCATGTACATTATCTCATTTGAAACCTCACTACATCCCTCTAGGATAACTACCACGTTCCCCCCATTTTACAGGTGGGGAAACTAAAGCTTAGAGAGATTAAGTTACTTGCCCCAAACTCCAAGCTAATAAGGGGTAAGAGAGGTTAAGTTACTTGCCCCAAACTCCAAGCTAATAAGGGGTACATCATACTGCCTGCAGCACCCACCAGGGGCCATGGTCTTAGATCCTACTAACCATTCAGACTCTTGACTCCCACAGCTACCCTGGGCATGGCATTCACTTTGAAGGCTGTCAGACCGGAAGCAGCCTGTTACAGGACAGCAGGAAGCAGTCCTCTTCAGGTGGTAGTCCTTGCAGAACTCAGTCATCCAGGACTATTCTCCATTGTTGCCCAGGGAACAGCTCAGGAGCAAGGGGATGAGGTATATCAGGGAGAAGTGGGGTTCCCCTCGGCTTAGAAGCATCATGCCCCAGGGGAGCCAATAACTCCCTAGTTCCACAGGCATAACAGCTCCATAGGCGTAACTTCCAGGGTCCCTGCAAGGGACATGCCCAATTGAGTGACTGCACTCAGGAAGCCCAAAGCTGTGGCTTTTTAGCAGATGTTTATAGTTCATACACAGAACTCCAAGTACAGATAATTTACAATTACGGGTCATTTTACCATAAGTAATGTTGCCTTGAAACAGCTGACATTCCATTTTTATCTGGTTTCCAAGGGAACAAAACTAGCAAGGTAACTACATGTCAAATTCTACAGGAGGGGAGAGGATCTATGACCCCTTCACTCATACTGCCCTATCCTCTGGAGTCGGAATTGAATGTTATTAAAGAAAACAGAACAAACAAACAAAAACCCAACTTTTGAAATTATTTCACAAAGCCAAGCCTCCTTGGCCTGCAGTGGCCTCCGGCAGGCCCACACACACATGCTGCCATGCAGTTGAGCCCACTCCATTGACCCCAACAGTCTAGCCGCCCATGAAGTGGCAAAGCATATGGGAAAGTGGGGCTGGGGACAGGGGCCTCCTGGCCCAGCTTCATGTGCCTACCCTCAACACTGACAGGAAGAGGACGTTTGCTCCCATGCTGAGGAACATTAGGAGGAAAAAACCCAGCACTTCAGGAGGAACTGGAGTCCAGGCTCTGCTTAGGGCTGAAGCCATGAGGAACCCTCTGCCCCTCTCCATCTGTATCCCCTCCCTGCCTGCTTGGCCATGCAGTCCATGTCACCTCTCCACTCTGTCTCCATTGTCCTGGCCATTAGTCCTGAGCGGGATTGTCCACAGCACTCATCTTTGGCATCTCTGGAATAATCTGAAGTCTTTCTCTGGGCTGTGGCACTAGTGGGCCACTTGGACACACTGTTTCCAGCCTCACACCAGATGCCACAATCCCTCCTCAGGAAGAGACAGAGGTGACTCGCCCCTCCTTGCAACCAAAGCTAAAAACATGGAAATCCTTCTTGCCTAGGAGAGTCCAGACACTCCTCCCCTCATCGTTCCTCAGCTTTTTGCAGCCTCTTTACCCAAATACTCCCCCCAAGTCACCCCATTCCATCAGGGAAGCTCCACAGCTGGAAACTCCAGCCCAAGGGCTGACCGTCACAGCTAAACATCAGAACTGTGTGTTCGTGCCTGGCCTTCGACACAAAGCTGCTGCAGATGCTTCCAGGGACCAGCAGCCAACAAGTCCCAGTGTACAGACACTGGGCCTGAGATACCTGTGGGTGGCTGGGGCTGGCCGCTGTCAAAGGTCAGGTGGGAATCAACAGGTGGTGGCTGGTGTGCAAGGGGAGGGCACAAGACAGACTGGAGTGCCATGGAGTCCAGACGGCCAAGTCCACACTACTCGTCCCCTAAGTTCCAGAGTTTGCTCTTCTGACATCCTGTCCTCTCCCACATAATGGCTGAGCTCAGTTCTTGTCCCTGCCCCCGTCCCACTGCCCCTTAGCTGGCCTGCCTGGGCAATTAGCACAGACACCCATCCTTGATGTGGTTTCAGGGATCGTGGCCATGGGGACCACCAAGCAGACACTCTCCAAATAACATGAAAAGAGCCATATCCACAGCCTCCTTATGCCCCTCCTCTTTGGGCCCAGCTCACATTAACTTTAAATTCAACAGTTTTTTTTCTCCATTGCCAAGTGGGGTTTGTCAATAAGGTCACAGACATCCAGCAAGAGAATTAAAAGGGGCTGCTTATCCCACAGTGCTGCACTCGTGTCTGCCACCGCCCCAGCTGCCTACAAAGGACCCCTGAAAAAAGAGGAACTGCTGTTCAGCTCACATGAGGTTATTAAGGATCCCAGGGAAATATGGCATGCGATGGTTTAAAGAGACTTCCAGTAAGAGTGAGGAAAGTGTTGGCACTCAAATCAGTTTGGCAAATTTCCTGCAGAACAGCTGCCTGACAGCAAGGCCTCTAGTGAAGTATGTTATGTTTTCTGGTTGTGTTCATGTGTTTCATTTGTCAGGGAGCCTCCTGACCAGCTGTTTGTTTCTGCACAACTCAACTGGACTAGAGTTAACCATCTAAAACAGCTATAGCCCAGTTGTACAGTTGCTGTGAGAGCAGTGCTTGATAGCAGAGTCTAGAAAGGCCTAAGGTAGAAGAGGGGGAAGCATGGAGAGCTGAGCCATCATTCCGTAGCTCTCAGAGCGGTGGATGCAGACATGGGGCAGCCCTGGCTGAAGGTGGACAGGGGGCAACTACCTGACAGGCTCTCCCCAGAGCCTCACACTGCCACCAGGTGGGGCCTAGGGCGGGGCCTCTTCCTTCCCCCACACCATAGTCTCCTTCTCAAGTTACCCACCCAAGCTTCTGCCTCAGTCCCTAAGGGAAACAAGAATTCATTAACATCTTCAGAATGGCTGCTCAGAGAAGGAAGGCAGCCTTTTCAACACTGTCAAACAGCTTCCCCTGTCTGAAGCATCTGCCTTTCAACTCTACCCTCCCTGCCCCCAATCAGGACTTCCAGAAGCAGTGTGGGAAAGTGCTGCCTATATCTGCATAATGAAAAGCACTATCAAAGCCCCACCCACCCACCCACCCAAGAACAGATTTCTGTATTAATAAAGGCTATATATCACCATGTCTTGGTTCTTGTCAAACAGTAGGTGACAGCCTGTCCTTCAAAAGAGATGGCAATGCTTGACTACTTTTCAGGGCTTTTCTGGACAGCAACCTCTGTCTCTGGCATAAAGAAGGACCTGGAACCAAGTTGGTTCCTGGGGAGCCCTGGAACCAACTGTGTGCATTCTGATCCATCCCGGGAGTAGCTGGGCCCTGTTAGTGCTCAGTGGAGTCTGGGACTGGTGACTGAAGGAGTAGGTGGGGACTTGTGGCACCAGGGGACCTGTGTGGACTCTGGGGCCTAGGGAGATGTTACAGAGGGAGGAAGTATGTCTGGATTCTGGGAGCTGCCAAGAGGGAGCCCCACGGCCAAGCTGCTTGGTGTATCTGTTTACAGCTATATCTGTTTACGGTGGGGGTGGGGGTGGGGGAGGAGTTTTCCTGCTTGACTTCCCAACCCTGCTTGCCTGAGCCTGGCCAGGAAGGCATTGTTGACTCTCATGAGCTCACAGAGGTAGTTGCACAGGCCCCGCCCAATTCCTACAGCCCTGGTTCTCCCTGCCCTGTGCCCAGCCCCCAAGTGCCCTTGGAGCTGCTGTCCAGGGGTCAAGGGGCTGCGGGAGCTCAGGGCTGGCACCTCCCACATGCCCCCAGGAACCATCAGGCCATGAGGGTGATAGGTTTTTCTCCTATTCCTGTTTGCCCTGAATGCCCCCACCCCAGCCGTGGTGGCCCACAGGCCCTGACTGCCTCGAAGATCCAATCTGAAAAGATGCGGCCCAGTGGTACCTGCCACACAGACCAGAGGCTGGGTGTGTGGGGGTGAGTGGAGGGGCTGGTGTGTGCACGTGTGTGCACAGCTCAGGAGGGAAGCCCCTGGCTTGGTGGGAGGTGGAGTGGGGGTACGCAAGGGTCTCAGCTCTGACCCTCATTCTGCCTCTCCTCGCTTCTGCTCTTTGGACCCAAGCCAGAGGATTCGGTCTAGACTGGCAGTTCTTAAGAAAGGCCCATGAGCCTCCTCAGATTATATATATATGTGCAAAGGCCGTTTTTCTGGGGAGGGGCCCTAGCTTTCCTCAGTGTACCCAGAGCATAAGAACCTCTGCCCTAAAACCTTCTGCCCTAGCCCTGACTGTTTCAGAGCCTCTACTGGGCTCACATCAGGCTCAGACCAGGCGAGGAGAAGCAGCAGTGGGGCTGCAGCGAGGCCTCAGAGCCCTGGGTTAAGGCCTCTTCTCCAAAGGCCCCTTAAGAAGGTTTCTGTGGTGCCTAGAGGCAGCGGTAATCTCTGGTGGGCAGGAAACCCTGAGGGCACCTAGGAGGCCGCAGCCTGTGGATTGGGGAGGAAAGACAGGACCCTGGGGCCAATGAAAGGATATGGTGGGCCCTCAAGAGAACTGAGTTCTAGTCCCTTCTTCCTCTCTTTGAGCAGATCCCCTCAGTCTTCCCTTGTGGAATGAGGGGCAGGCTCATGTGCTCTGTTCTCTGGCTCAGCCCTGGCTGACTCTCCTCTTTCCTGTCCTAGGCCTTGGAGGGGTGGCAAGCCCCTTCTTGCTGGCCCTCTACCCTCCCTCTCTCTCTCTCTGGCCCTGCCCAGCCCCTGTCAATCTGTGAACCTCCCAGGAGCCTTGGCACCCCTTGAGTCCCCTTGGAGGCCCTGGGCCAAGCTGAGAGCCTGGGGCCTGAGAGGAACAGCCAGCGATGAGGAATCCTAGAAGCCCTTCCGAGGGACACCCCTCCAGAGACCCCCAGGAAGAGATCACCACAAACACAGGTGCAGGAGCCCTCATGGAGCCCCCAGGCAAGCAGCACTTGCAGCAACCCCCCTCAGAAGAGGCCCTGCCTGAGCACTCAGGCCTTGAGGCGGCTCCCAGCACACATATTCTCTATGTGGGACACCTGAACCCCCAGTTCTCAGTGCCCGTGCTTGCCTGCCTGCTGCGAGACACTCTGGAGCGGCTGGAGCTGCCGGTGGCGCGGGAGCACATTGAGGTGGTGAGGCGGCCACGGAAGGCCTATGCACTGGTGCAAGTGGCCACCCATGAGGACACCCTGGCCTCCCTCCCCAGGCGCCTGCAAGCAGCCTTGGCAGAGCACCAGATCCTCAAGGAGCTGGTGGCCTGCGGGAAGGAGCTGGTGTTGGGTAAGGGCCGAGGGCCCTCAACCCACAAAGAGGTAAGTGAGGCATTCCCGGAACCACCAGGCCTGCGAGCCCCAGAGCCTCACCAGGGGAGAGGCCTGGGTGTGGATGGCCTGTGCTGGGTGGGGGTGGAGGGTGTCTTTGAGGAACCAGAGACAAATCTGCACACTTGGGGGCTGCTACTCAAATGACCATGGCCTGAAGCTGGCACTGCCAGCTTACTCCCAGAGGGACACTGACTCTAACAGTTTGCCTCCAGCATGGAAGCATGTGAAGAAAGGCCGGAGTGTGGAACGCCTCCCTGGGTCCTTCTGTAGCCCAGTCTCTGGGCCTGGCCAGCCCAGGCCTTAGGATACACAGGGGCCCCAATTTTCTCTTGGTCTACCACATTCATTTGTTGACAAACACCAATGCCCGCTCTGTGCCTGGCAGTAAAGTGGACAGCAAAGGCTTGGCCCTGCCCTCAAGGGCCCTCCGTCTATGGGCACAGCCAGACACAGCCAGTTACAAAGCTGCGAGGTGGCCACCTGGAGCTGTGGGAAGACAGGAGGGTCCTCACTGCTCTCTGGGGACAAATTCACAGGGGAAGTGAAATGCAGGCTGGGACTTAGGGACAGGCACTCAGGGGAAGGACATTCCAGGGAAAGGGACATGGCATGTACAAAGGAACGGGGGTGAGGGAGAATGTTGCGTTTGTAGAAGGACAAGCCATTTGGTGTCCCTGGAGCTGCAGGGGAACTAAGGAAGAAAGCTGGGCCAGAGGGCAGGGACCAGGCCACCCAGGCTATGAGACCAAGGCAGAGCACCAAAAGGCTGGCCTTTATGGGGCGGAGGGAGCAGTGAAGTCACCAAGGTGGTGGTAGAACACTTGAGACAGGTGATCTTGGTTTTTCTTTTCTCTTGGGGTGAAAACGCCATGATGTGTAAATTGTTGCAGAACTAAACAGCTCTGTGACTTACATTTCAAGGCCTGTGAGCTTGATTTCACGTTTGTATGACAGTTTTCTCATGCTTCTGATAAATTTGTCTTCTCTTGGAGCTGCAGGGTGGGTAGGCATGTGCCCCTCATCGCCATGCCTCAGTGCACACTGAGCTCCCAGCCCTGGAAGCCGCTTCCAGAGACTTGAAGGCAGCGGGGAGCCAGGGAAGGCAACAGAGAACCCAGTAAGAGAGGAGTGACAATCTGACTTGCATCTAGGGTCAGTGAGGAGGAGGAGGAGGAGGAGGATGGATGGGACAGGGAGAGCCTGGAGGCAGGGAGTCCAGTGAGGGGCTGACTGATGAGGCCCAGACTAGAGAAGTGGCCATGAGCATGCTCATGCCCAGAGCCCTTGAACAGAGCAGAAACCATGGAAGGGACTCAGGAGGCCAGAGGAAAGCTGAGATTCAGGAGGACTGGTCAGTGGTCCCAAAAGCGATGGGCAAGGGTTTCAGTGAGCTCAGGAATAGTGTGGGGTCTCTGGGAGCCCCTCTCAATCCAGAGATCCGAAGCTCTGTCACAGGGGACCTCAGGGCACTGAGATGGCTCCTGGAATGATCCAGTCCTGGGCTTCAGAGGCCTATCCTCTGTGGGAGGATAGGCCCACAACCCAAGTGGGAAGAGTTTGGCCCACAGGTGTCCCAGCCCCCAACCTTGGGTAGGACAGCTCTTCTTAGCCACAATGCGTCCCATTGTCCACCTGGAAGAGGGCAGCCCAGCGGGGAAAGAGCTGTGGCTGCTTCAAACCCTTGACCCAGCAGGGTTTCCTGCATTGGTTGCATGGTGGTGGGCAGAATTAGACCCCTCCGCTTGGGCGGAGACATCAGGATGCCCGAGTGGGCTGGACCCTAGCGGGTGGAGGTGGGGCTCTGGCAGTCTGTCCCTGTCACCGCCAAGGTTGGGGCTTCCAACTCTTGTCCCTCACCCCAGCAGGAGGAGGACGGTGGCCCGAGCCCTGGCCCCAGCCCAGGCTCCAGCTTCCCACCAGCCCGGCTCACTGACACCCCTCCCACCCGGGCCCTGGCCCAGCGGTGGCGGAGTTCCTGGGGCCGGCCCAGTGGTGCACGCTCCGACAGCGCCATCGTGCACCAGGAGATCCTGGGCCAGGAGCGGCTCTTCCAGGGCGCCTTCCTGGGCAGCGAGACGCGCAATGTGGAGTTTAAGCGGGGCGGTGGCGAGTACCTGAGCCTGGCCTTCAAGCACCACCTGCGGCGCTACGTGTGCGCCTTCCTTAACAGCGAGGGCGGCAGCCTGTTCGTGGGCGTGGAGGACAGCGGCCTGGTGCAGGGCATCCGCTGCAGCCACCATGATGAGGACCGCGTGCGCCTGCTGGTGGACTCCATCCTGCAGGGCTTCAAGCCCCAGGTCTTCCCCCACGCCTACACACTCACCTTCATCCCCGTGGTCAGCACCTCTGCCTCCAGCACCCCCCTCAAGGTGAGCTGTGGGACAGGAAGGTCTCTGGGTCTGTTTTGTCATCCATCATGTCATCACTCTACACATGATGGCCTACATCTACTCTGCTGAGCGGTGCTGGGCGGGGGTGGTGGTGAAGGGGAGTTGGGGATAAGAGAGACTGGAGAAGAATTGGAAACAGCCCTGCCTCTAGCCCCGCCAGGCTGCCCTCAGCAGCAAGCAAGGCAGGATTTGGGCTGCAAACTGTCCAGTGCAGTGCCCGCCACAGCTGCTGCTGTCCTTACCAAGGTGATCCGCCTGAGCGTGCACGCCCCCAAGGCCCAGGCCGAGCTGCAGCTTTATGAGACAGACCAGGGGGAGGTTTTCCTGCGGCGGGACGGGAGCACCCAGGGCCCACTGTCCGTCTGTGCCATCCAGGAGTGGTGCAGGCAGGTAAGTGGCCGAGGCCTTGTTGGGTGGGGTGGGAGACAAGCTGGCCCTGGGCCCCTTCAGCCACTCACTGAGCAGTCCTGGGCAAGCCATCAGGTTTCTGCTGGTCCTCCATCACCTCATGAGTACACTGGAGGGACTGGATTGAAATAACCCCACTATATCCCGTATTCCACTGTTGTGTGGCTGGGGGAGCTGCGAAGAGTAGAACATTGAGAAGTTTCAAGACAACCCTGAGGACTGTGTACTGCATCTTGGGGGACACACTTAAGATATGGGTGCTGGACAGAGTCCCAAGGAAAAGCCTTTTCAAGAGGGAAACATCAGGTGGCAGAAAAGCAGAGGAGGGTAAGGGGCTGATGGAGAGGGAAGGATGTGGTGGGGGGCTGCCAACCTGAGCCTGCCCCTGGTACTTGAGGAGGCTGTGAGGACGGGTCATCCCAGGGCAAGGGATGCCGGCAGAACCCTCAGGTCAGGCGGCTTCCCTCAAGACCCCAGGGCTGACTTGGTCAGAGATGGTGGCATGGCCCGGGGACCCAGCTTCCCCACCTAGCACTGTCAATATGGTGCCCAGTGGCCTGAAGCAGGCCCCCCAGGCGCTCTGGGCCTTGCCTTCCTCCATCAGTCAACCCTGGGTGGAGGGTGCATGGGTGTGAGACGATGTCAGTTTAGACATCCGCTTCCACGATGTCCCCCCAGAAGTGGATGGCAGAGCTGAGCAAGCTGGAAGAGAGGGTGAAGGTGTTGACGGTGGAGAAGGAGCAGCTCCAGCAGGAGCTGCAGCGGCACAGGCCTGTCTCCTGCACCTGCTGCGTCCTGTGAGGGCCCCAGCGGGCAGGCGAGGGTGGGGCGGGGGAGCCCATGCTTAGCCTGGGAGATGCAGCGGTTTCCTAGTTGAGCCGAAGTCCTCCCAATAAAACCCGTCTGGGCTGCTCAGAGGTGGATGGGAATGCTCGCCACGCTTCCTCGCTCCATCCACAACGCTGCCCACACACAGGGCGGTCCCCACGCAGCTACAATCCTGAGCAGACCCCGGTCTGTTTAGCTCAGAAATTGCTCTTGGCACAATCCCCAAGGAACCTTACTTTCAGAAAAAACTTGTAAAAACTTAGCCAGAGCTATCCTAGGGCTGACTGTCCCTCTCTCTAAAATGCTCATTGTGCCCAGGCTGGGGTCTATGACTCCAGTCCGCTAGACGGCCAGAAAGGAATTCATCATCTTGGGAGAGCCCCTCTGCAGCTGGCAAGGCACATTCCCTAACTGTGGTTACAGGACAGACAGGCCACCCTGCAGCCCCCACGCCTGGCTTGCTGGGACTTGTGATGGTCAAAGCTCTAATAAATTACATGCACCTGGGGCAAGAATGGTTCTTTCTAGGGACCCAATGTGGCAGTGGGTGCCTATCTCATGACAGATTACCAAACTCTGAGCTCCTCAGGGACACCCAACCACAGTGCCTGAGCCAGGTCTACAGAGGCTGCTTGAGAAGTGCACAGAGGATGGGCTGCTCAAGAAGTCAGAGGGGAGCCATTTCTGAGCACCTTCCACGTGCCAGGCACATGCCAGAAATGCTCTTACTGGGAAATAGCTGGTTTCTACAAAGGCAGGGTGAGGTCGTGTTGCAGTTGCACTGCTCCAGACTGCTAAGAACTTGCCCAGGTCACCTGGGTTGAAGTGAAGGACACTGGAGGAACTTGGCCAGGTGTCCTCCCCAAGGAGAAGCCTCTGAGCACTGGTCAGTCAACACTGGGCATGGAAGGCCACCCTCCTGTACAGTCTCGGCTTCAGCCCTCATCCCTGGTATGGTCCTGTCTGTCACAGCCCATGTGGCAAAGCTGGTTGGGCTTTGCAAGCCCATAAAGCCATTTGGGGTCCCTTTTCTAGAAGGGTTATGCAAGTGGCCAGCACTCAACAACTGGTCAGCTGAGGCACTCTTAAAGGCAGGGACGGGAACATCTGACCCCTCCGAGACTTTTGCAAACCACCCCACACCCACTCAAGTCCTCACTGTTGCAGGGAGCGCTGGCTGTCACCAATGGGCATGTCAGAGCCCTCAGTTTGGGGAACAGCTTTTATAAAAATGATTGACGACTGTCTGATGGGACCACCAGGTGGGAAAAGAGGTTAGAATGCACCCAATCGGCCACATTCAAAGTACCAAGACAAGCATGAAGCCCTCTGTAAGTGTTCTTTGATTTCAGTCCATGAGAAACGGAGACAAATGCAGCTGGGCTGCTCTTGGCCAGGGGGCAGGTACACCAGCTTCTGGGCCCCAGCAGTGATGGTGGCCTTGGTCCAGTGAGTGGAAGGATAAAAGGGAGCCTACTTCTTTTCTGGATCTCTCTGATGGAGCAGCCTGGCCAAATGGTGAGAAAGAAACATTTTTCTCCTCAACCCCTAATTTCTCAAATGTCGATGAGTACAGGCTGTTGATCACCGGCCTGAGCCCTGAGCCCCTGCCTCAGACCGACTGCAGAGGAGCTGGCTCATGAGGAAGTGTGCTCAGCTGCCACAGCATGGGTGGTGGGTGCAAACATCACCAACATGCCACCAGGGGCATGGATTCAACAGTGCTCATTTCACTTTGGAGGAAAAACCACTCAGGACAATGACCTGGCCCTGGAAGGCTGTGGGGGATAAAGCAGTCCTGCTGGCTCACACATGTCTTTGGTCTGCTGCTCCCTGGCCTCCCAGGTCCACGCCCGGCAGAGGGAAGGACCTCCTTCATAAATAATGAATTCCCCCTTGCTCAAGATCAAGCAGTGTACTCGGCACCCGTGCCTCTTTGAATCTCTATCTTCATAAGCCGAGAACCTGAATTTGAAAGGTTTGGGGGAAATTCGGGTTCCTATTAAAAAGAAAGGCTCCCCTCTTAGTTTTTAAACTATCAGATCATCCACTTAAGGCTGCTCTCCTGGAGGAGAGCCTGGCACTGACAGTTTGGGGGACCGCACACAGGCACATCTGACACCGGGCTCAGACGTTTTCCATCTGGCCACGAAAAAGAAGTATTACAAAGTGTGTCTTGTTCTGCTTTATTTATTTCTTAAGTTAGAGAATGCACGGAGTCCAGGCAGAATATAGTGGGCACACAGCTGTGCCCATCATTACATCACATTAAGAAAATAGCTTTTCATAATGCATTTCAACGGCCATAACACCATTCCGGAAGGAAAAAGTCCCCTCGAGCAAAGCTGTCTACATGAGAGGGTTTTAGAGGCAGTTTCCCCAAAAGATTCTTTGTTCTTTCTGAAGCGACCCCTTGATGCAAGGAGTTTCCCAGCCCCCGGAAGAGAAGCACAGCCGGAGGACAGGGAGTCTAACATCACACTTCAGAGGGACGCAGACTTCTTGCCGTTTCACGTGACACCAAACTGACCGTCCCTTTAGACAACAAGTACCAGCCACAGTTGGCACTGAGCGGCCACACAGTGCAGGGCCAAGGCTTTGTTTCTGGTTTCACTGCTCTTAGTGGCAAGCAATGCCCTCAGGTTACCAGCACCAAGTGTTGTAAGCACTAGCTAAAATTACCCTCCGTGCTCACCAAGTCCGCAGGGCTCACTTTTTATAACGGTTTGGGCATCCAAGGGGGAGCAATGGGCTACACACCCGAATCCACAGTGACGTGAGGTAGCTGGAGAACAAGGTGATGGATGGCCCCCCGCCAGCCCCTGTCTGTCCTCTACTCCTGCCCAGTGTCCTGCTTCTCGGCTGAGAGGCTCATGGACCGCGAAGGAGTGTCAGACACCAGGCAGCGCACAGTGCAGGAGCCGATACACGGGATGGGACATGCAAGTCACAAAGTCTTCCAAATACCTTTCCCCGTAATAAAATAATCTTAATAAAAACATAATTTAAAGGAAGTGTCAAAAGCTGTGTGTAAAATCAAAGCTGTAAATTCTCAAAGTCCGAAGGCTGTCGAAGAATCACTCCTGTTTAAAAATAAGTGGAGGAATTATGTGATGTATGTTAAAGCAGAAAGTTAGAATTTATAGTCCGCTGCTATGGTACAAACTATGCCTGTTTTTCACTGAAGACCAGATGTAGGAGCCTAGGATGAATAATTAGACGCTAAGTGTATCATTCCTATAGAATCATACATTTTCAAGATTTTACATGGACTTCTACCTCTGCCCCAATACAAGCAATCTTTTTCCATAGCACCCAGCCTCTGAACAGTGCCACCAAAAGGAAATTCTCCACTTAGCAAGGCAGTTAGAAATTCCATATAACTGATCAAATATCTACCCCTTTACTATTAAAGCTTCCTTTCCCTTTATGGAAGTTTCTTAGACAAGCAAACAGCCTACAGCAAACTATGTGGTGGAGAAGATTAATGAGTTCATCTGTGCTAAATGCTTACTTGACAGAGAGTAAGCAACCAATGCCCTCCTCCTGATACGAACCTACTTCTCAGGCCCACCCACTCAGCTAAGGTCATCACAGGCCAGGTGGCTCATCGACCAAGGCAGAAGGGGGGAGGGCCGTGTGCCCACTAGACCAGACCTGTGCAGGGGGAAGGCCCACTGGTGGAGAATGCAAAGTGTGCAGGATTCAGGGAGGCTGCCTGCCCGTGTCTCGGGCAGGAGCTCATCTTCCCTGTGGCGGGACCCCCCACATATGGGGCCATACCACATCCCTGGTTCTCCTTTCGGACACCACAGATGCCAGACTGATATCCATAACCCCCTCTGATACCCTCACCAGCAGAATGTGTGTTTTTGCTGACAGTTTGCTCGGTTATCTTAATAGGACTTGATACAATTCATGGCAGTGCCCACACCTACTGCACTTTATAAACTTATAAACCCTATCACTTATAAACCCTATCACTATAAAGACAAACATTCAAGGTTTATTCAATAATCATTTGGATTTTAAGAGATTTCCAAAATAAGCAGCAATCAACATAAAAGTGCTGTATGTTGCATGTATCAGCTTTAAAGCACTTCCTGACGAAAGCTTGAGGCTCTGCGAAAATGACCAATACCATGCTGTCATACCTGTCACCTCCTTAAAGATCTCTAAGTTTATGGCTACATGAAATAACAAGGGTCTAAGAGTCCAGTTCTCCCAGATTTGGTCAGATTGACACCTGAATGTAGCCATCAGTAAGGAGACAACTGTCTGGTAACTAGTGTCCCCTCAAGGGAGTCCCCCAAACAGGGCAGACAGGTGCACTGTAACCTGGAGGGGCCTCACTCATTTGATGCCCATGCTGACCTTCCCACTTTCATTCTCTGGCAGATAAAAATTTTCAACACTAAACTTTCATGATATTCTTGCAATTCTTGTGTTATCACCATTGAAAAAACAAACAAAAAACCTAAAGCTTAAAAATATCACTTACATTACCATCAATCATGATTTATTGATGGAAACTTCAATTCAGTGATTTCAGAGTCAGGGGAGCTGCTTCCACTTCTGTCACTGTAGGTGTCCCTGTAGAATTGAGATGGTTTATTCGTCATCTCCCACCAAAAACTTGTTTTACTTCCCTGTTTCTGTAGCCACCATTACTACAGGGACACTTGTCTGCACACAGCAGAAATCAGGAAGACCCTTTACTACACTGCATATTTAGCTTGAAGCTGTCGAGGGATCTTCTTCTTCTGGTTACAAGATCTACCTTCAATTTATACTTCAGTCTTGACACCCTAACCACCAACTCAGAGTAACTAACTGGTTCTGGATAAAGGTAGCAATGGGGCATGAAATCCACCAGGGCTGTGGCCAACACCCCGTGAAAAACCACAGTTCTCCATGGACCGTAGGGTCCAACTGCCAAATGTAATCCCAGAACCCAGATGCTGGAGAGAGGGGGACCTGGCGACGAAGCCAGGGGAAGGTCAGGGTGGCACAAAGCAGCCTGAGAAAACCCTGGGGGAGGAGAGGACACCCGCATGTCAGTGTGAGAAGGAGCACCTAGGAAGCACTCTCATCACCATAATGCATCACCGACCACCTGGAGGATGAGAGAAGCCTGACCCACCTGGGCGACAGCCTGCAGCCTTTCTGGAGGTAATGCGGGAGCCTCCCCACAGAGGCCAGGAGGAGGCCAAAGTATGGTGGGGAAGGCTTGATAGGTCTGGACAGGAACTCAGGATGGTACTGAACTCCAACAAAAAAGGGATGATCTGAAGCAGAAATGTAAAAGAAACAGCTTCATTATGTATGTGTACATAAAATGTAAAAGACGAGAAAAAACTCTCGTTAAATGTTTCTTACTTCCACAGACCCTAAAAGTATTTAACAATAGCTTCTTAATTTGAACCTGGGTAAAGGTAACCACGAAGCACGGGAGGTCTGACGCCCCCCGCACGCTGTCACCCTCCCGGCTGATGGGG